TTGATGGCAGCAGCACAGCTGATATTTCTCAGATTCTGCAGAGTGGGAGAATAGAGATAGAATGAAGCAGAATGATGAAAAAGGGGTCCCTATGTCCTCCAGCAGTCTAAGCCTATAGCAGCAGAACTATAGAGATAGATCAGGATAACCTGAGCCGCTCTAACTAGAAGCTTTGTGAAAACATGGAATGCCTTTGACATTAGATTAGCTGAACATCAAGGTTCTGATCCAAAGTATATTAATTAAAATAGGCTACAGGCTGATGGATGCATCTGTGCTGAACTACTGAGGTGTCACTTTGTTCATCAAACCATGTTTTACTCATAAAGAGTCAAATAAAAAAATATTTGAAAAATATTTTCCGTAAAACTTATGTAACGTCTCTTTAAGTTTTCCCCGTACTGCTAAAGGGATTTTAGTGGACAGAAAGCATAAAGTTTAGTCCATTAACCATATTCCAAAATTATTTTCTGTTTTGAAAACTATATGGTGAGATGGTTAATGCTGTGATAAAATATTTTTCCCGATTGCTCTCTAGATCCAAATATTTTGGTTTGGAATGTTGACTGAAATAGTTTCTCTTCTCTTTTTGCTCTTTCCACTGCAGAGGTCATTCTGCAGCGCCATGGTGGACGAGCTGCGGGTTTCCCTCAAGTGCCAACGGCGGCTCAAACACAAGCCCCAGCCACCTGTCATGGTGAAAACAGAGGAGGTCATCAACATGCACACCTTCAACGACCGAAGACTGCCAGGGAAAGAGACCATGGCCTGAAGCAGGAATCCGTGTCATTTTCTCACCCGCTCTCATGTGCTGAATTGGTGTGTGAGGATACTTGGGATAAGGGAATGGGTAAATGGTAGAGGGGAAGAGGAAGTTGCCATGGTCGAACTTGTAGAGCTTGTAGAGCAGGACTGCTTTGCAGTTGTTGTTAAAACGTCATGCTTCTGTCTTTCTAATTAGCTACAGATAAGAGATTCATCAGTATTTCCTGTGGAAATAACTTCAACCCGGGTGAAATTTCAGCAAGTTACCTCATTACTCTTACAACACTGGCAACCAACTGGAGGTGCCAGGATTTTTAAAAAACCTTGAGTTGAAATGTAGAAGGTCTTGGATTCCAGTCAAAGTGGAGGAAAAATTGAATCACACTTTTGATCTGCTCCTCAGTCACTGCAGAGGCTGAAGGTGCATCTCAGCTAATGTGATTGAACAGGTGGGAAAGTTTCTCATTTTTTTTCTGTGTTGCTAAATTAGACCTAACACGGGGTGAAGTGATAAGCAGTGCTCTCAAAATGTATAAAAAGCACTGCTCAGTAACATATGATATCGAATGACTTTAAAAATTGACATTTTGCAAAACGTCATCTGGCAATAATTGAATTTATGTGTTTTTTTTGTTTTCAGAGTACTAACACTTTTAGTCTTTAATGGGGATGAGTATGGGAGAATTATCCTGCCATAATGCAAGAGCACATAATTTCAATTTGAGAAAAGAATTTCATCTTCTTGCACTCAAAACTTATAATGCTCACACTCCAAACATGCGCTCTCAGTTCTCTTCTCTCTCAAATCTTTATTTCTTCTCTCAGATTTAATGCTTCTTGCCCAGATATTTTCCCCTCTCTCTTGCCTCCTTCTCTTTGCGCACAAACCGCGCTCTGTTCGAGTC